TTAGCAATTTTGCTGTTCAATTGGCAATTAAATTACTTAATTGCAATTAAAGTCCTAATTTTAATTGGCAAAATGATAGATGTAGATTTAAGATAATATGTATAAATACTTTAATAAGTGTCTATATAAGGATTACTTAATTACTCAACTTCAAGTTTATGCTGTTAACTTTAGAACTTAAGTGAGCGATGAAATTTATATTACATCTATTCAAAGGATATGGTAATTAGATTTATTACTTATCACTATAAGGGTCCTTGCTATAAGTTACTTTTGTAGTGTTAAAATTGTAGGCTGGATAATTGCAGAATTATGATAAAAAAGGGCATATATGTCTGTCATAATATATCAATAACATGTCTTCATTTTTTATTAAATTGAGAAGTTCCTATACGCCAGTTAGTCTGAGGGAAAAAAATCAAAAATGGTTATTTTATAATTAAAGATAAAACAAAAACTAACCAGCTATGATATACATATGAAAACTGTTGCAAAGTGTATGTATTTTATCTACTAAAAGAAAATCCTATGTAATACTGTGGTGGTTACTAATGTTATCAGCTACTTCTAGAATTCCAAGTGTCCGCGATATATTCTTAGCATATAGCAACTTATTTTCAGAATCTTTAAAGTGTCTTTCAGGACTCTGTACATTTTAATGACTCCCATGTTTAGTGAAATCAGCAAGGAAATCTAAAACCAGAGTAACCCTTCCTTGCTTAATCAAGAAGAATTTTTACATAAGAAAATATTGGTGATTGCCAGGGGCTGGGAGGAGGGGAGAATGGAGAGTTATTGTTTAATGGTTATAGAGTTAGAGTTTTATAAGATGAAGAGTTATGGGGGTGGATGGTGATGATTGGTGCACAACAGCATGACTGTATATAACATCACTGAACTGTACACTTACAAATGTAAGATGGTAAATTTTATGTTATGTGTCTTTTACCACAACAACAAAAAGAAAATTTTAAGTGGTTAATTTAAAGTAAATATTTAGGAGATAGTTACTGAGAGTCAAGAGTTAGAGAAAAGATGAAGGATTTTTATTATGCAAAATACTTTTTGAGTGGCATGAGGTTTTACCATATGTTCAGTTTTAGAATTTTAATTTATAAGTAGATGCTTCTAGAAAAAAACAGTGCTGTTTTCTTCTGCACATCTTTCCACATTTCTAGAACTGAGTACTGTATCAAAGCAAGAAATAATTTTTAAAGTCTTTGCATTAAGTAGTTTGGAGTGAAAAATGGGCTGGGTAAAGCTGAGCAAAAGCCACAACTACCCAAAATGTGAATTACCAGCTGAGTATTTGACTTATTCTCTAGGCATCTCATAAAAGAGGAACAAATGATTGGTTGATTAATATCTTATTAATGCAAGTGAAATGGCAAAGCAAATAACCAAAAACCGTCCATATTAAAAAATGATTTTGTATTTTCAGAAACTGAGTTTTTTTCAAAGTGGAAATTTCTTTCTTCTATCACTAATGTAAAACTTCCTGCTGAATGGCAACAAATGCCATGAAAATTGTCCAAATATAACTTAAAATATGTCTCATTTTATGCTTAACATAGGTTCCATTAATTAATATTATTGTGAAATGTCTTCAAGTTACCTTGATTCTTATAGCATAACAGGTATATCTGTTTACTGTATTTGAATTGTAAGAGCTAAGAGCTGCTCTGAGTACATTTTGGGAGAATAGTAAAATAAATCCCTAAAGACCCCTTTCGCATGCATTAAGATACAAAATCCTATGGAATTAAATCCATGTTTGCTTTCTAAATTATACCAATATCTCAATTTTATTAAGTATAATCAGCCTAGCCTTGCATAAAATACTTTGGTTTAGATGTGAGTATGCATTATTTACACTGTTTTTTTATGAAAATATTTTTTCCATATATGTACAAATATGTTCTGCTTAATATTGGCTAATATCATAAAAGATAACATAGTAACATTATTTTCCTATATGCTTTTTCTGAGGTCATCTAATACTGTATATTGATAGAAATAATAATTTTGTAATTTGTTTTAGTTGGTTTCAAAAGAAGGACCTACTTATGGATAGGATCAATTTTATTCCCATTTATTGTAAATTGTTAAGAACACCGACCTTCATTTGGGGTAACTTTATGTATTTATACATGGCAATAATTTAAAGTTATATCAGATTCTGGGCCCTGAAAGAAACATTATTGTCATTTTAATCGAGTTATAAAATAGTTTATATTCAAGAATCTATTTATGTTCAAGAATCTTGCAGGATTGCAGTCATATAAATGCAGAATTTCAGTTTCTTTTAGCCTAGAGCATCATTTGAACATTTTCTAAAAGGTTGTTCAATTCTACATTTTGATTCCATTATATGTGTAATTAAACCTCTATTCACAAAAGCATTCTCTTATGTACTAGCAAATACACCCACAGGAATCCTCTTCTAAACTATAATTTATTTAAACATGTAATCATAGGATTTTAAAACATGTTTTCATTTTTCCAAACTAAATGCCAAATTTGAACTGCTTGGTGATAAAATGAAAGATTTTATTACCATTTTGACTGTTTTTTCTCCCTGTGAGCTAACAGTGAGTTAAACATGGACAGGAGGAAATAAAGAAAATCTGTTGTGAACCTAATTCCAGTGTTAAACTGTTTCCCTTTTTGAGAAATACAGAAGAGAATCAAAGATTTGTAGTTATTTATGAATTCCAGCAGAATATGAATATTTTGGCCTGCAGCAAGCTCTCCTGGGGCTTGGCCTAAGTAGTAAATAGCTAGTTGTGTGTGTATGTGCCTGTGTGTGTGTGTGTGTGTGTGTGTGTGTGTGATGTATCTTCCTGAACGTTGTGGAGTCAGGCCCCCTACTGACAGGATCAGTCAATTACAGACATTGGCCCTTCTACTGAGACTGTTCCATCAGAATCTGGTGGGGACACAGGAGTCTGGAGCTTTGAGCGAGGTCATTCTTTACACTTTCTAATGTCTGCTGGATCCTTTCCACCCCGAGCACATCTGAGCACTACCAAAAATACCAACCCAAGAAATAGCTTACCCAATAATGTCTTTAAGTGAGTTTATCCGCCTTGCATCCGGTGTGTCTTCCTAAGAAGACACACTTCCTAGGAGCTAGAATAGGAATTTGAGGAAAGAGAAAATTCATACGGATTGTAGAATAGAAGGCAAAAAAAGCCACCTTTTTTTCTCATTTTGATGTTGTATTTACTCAATCCATTTCCGGTTACTAATAATTGTTATAATAAGCTGCTGTGAAAACTGCGTCTCGATCTTGGGTGCCTTAAGACTTGAGCAAAGGCTCTGTTATCAAGAAGCCAGACTCGACAGGTTGCTGTTATAGAATAACCCATCACATTACAATGTTTATCTTCCTTGGAGCTCACTTTAAGGACTCCAGCACATTTTCCCACTTACTGGGAGAGAATTTTCAAATTGCCCGCAGACTCAACCCAGGCTAAAGCCAAGTGTTTTTTTAAATGGTTTAAGGGAGGAGGAGCGTGTGGAGGGAATGTACCTACTTAGATCTGAGTATTGGTGTTTGGAGAAGGACGGTTACAACCTTAAAGTTCTCCTGGCCCCCGCCTTCCGAGGAATATATTAAAAAACAATAACTGCCACCCCAGCATGGCTGTGCTTGAATTTCCGACGGCCTGAAAATAGCTGCTGGGAGCCTGGCCCACCCCCGGGATCAAGGAAAGCTCCCCGAGGCCGCGCGTCCTGCTCCCTTGTGGAAGGGGAAGGGAACCCGGGAGGGCGCCACCGAGCTAGAGCTGCTGCTATTTTGGGCCCAGCCCGGCGGGTGCGTCAATGCCTGAGCCCCTGCGTCACCGCCACCCCCACCGCTTTCCTTCTCCCCTGCTCTCCAAACTCTCACTTTTTCCCTTTCGTTCGCGTGGAATCGTTTCTGCCCACAGGGCGCTGACGCTACCCAGCTCATGCTAATAAGCTATTCTTCGCCCTCCTCCTCTCATCCCCCTACTTACACACCTTCACCCGCCACCGCAACATTCCCCACCCCCCCACCCACCACACACACACACACACACACACACGCACGCACACGCGCGCGCGCTCTCACACACACTTCCTGGTTTTATTTTTTCTCGCGCCCGCTAGGGCACCGCTGAGCCGCCGCGGTGGCTGCAGCAGCAGCAGCGGCAGTCGCAACATCTGGGGGAAACTTAAGGTGGTCACGTAGGTTTTCCCGAGGATGCGGTGCAGAAGAGCCTGCAGCTTCTCGGGGCAGCCTCGGGGCACCTGATGGCAACGCCTCTCCAGCCGCCGGGGAGCAGGAGGCGGCGGGAGAGGGCAAAGGCTGGGGTGCAGATTAGAGCTGAGTGGCACCGTAAGGCGGAGAGCTCCACGGCGATTTCGGCCCGCCTGTACTGGGAACACCAGGATGGGGGTGTGCAAAGGGGCCCCGAGCCTGGAAGCGAGCTACGCCGAGAGGGAGGGGCGGCTGGAAGTCTTCTTGGGCGGAGGAGGGGGACGCCTCCGAACCCTCCCTCCCCCGTTAACTCCCCAGCCCCATGGGAGAAGCCCCGAGGCCCGTCCAGCTCTAGCCCAGGAACCCGGAAGGGGGCTTGCTCCCGGGAGAAGCGGCGTTTCTTTGCAAGAAAGCGCCTTGCGCCCTCAGCCTGGAGGTGGATTGACTTGCGAAGCGGAGTCTGCGGCGGCTGGGGCGGCTGGGGCGGCTGCAGGGGTGCGGCGAGCTCCGGTCGCCCGCCGGGCCCCACTCCTGGGAAGGCTGAACGCACATACCGTACGCCTCGCAGAGATCTTGACGCCCCCCTCTCCCCGCCGCTTCCCCCATGCTTAGTCTTTCCCTCTTGGCTCTCAGATTGAAGCTTCGAGAGCCCTTGTGCTTCAGAGGAGGGTAGATTTATTTCCCTAAAACTTGTGGAAAGACACGAGTTGATGGGCACCCAGGAGTGTCAAAGTATGAGAGTTGGTAAAAGGTGAGGCTGGGGCACCTTTCTGCAGAACACACCTGTTGCCCGGCGCTCGGCTGCATTGTCTGAGAAAGGAAAGTGGGTGACGCCTCACTTTGACTCTTGGGGTCCCTGAAGGGCTGGGTCACTGGCTACCCTCTCTTTTCCGCTTCCCTCCCCACGCACCACGTCTTCCCTCGCACGTGAGCACTGCAAGGAAAGAAGGGAACATAGAAAATAGGCCATACCTACTCTCTTCCACCTTGGAGTGTGTGTGTGTGTGTGTGTGTGTGTGTGTGTGTGTATGAGAGAGAGAGGGAGAATATGCTAGAAGAGAAGGCCGGGGACAGGAAAAAAGAGAAAAGAGGGGTGCACTGGACAAGGGAAATCCCACCCCAATTGCCTGAGTCCTCCGAGCGTCTCGTGTCATGGGACATCTGTACTCGCTTCCGCTAACGGGGGTGGCAATTGTGGGTGGGCGAGGTTAGCGTGCTGCCAGGCACGCCCCGTCTCGTGCGATTCCAGGTGCTGGCTACCTGGCCCACGCCTGGGTCCCCTTCCGCTCGGGCTTTTGTTGCACCCTCCCCCACCTGTGAGCTGCCGGACCGCCGCGGCGGCGCAGGGATTGGCCGGGGGTGGGGGGGAGGTGAGGTGAGATGTCGAGGCTCTGTGGGCTGCGCAGACCTGAGTGGAGAGGTCACACCTCTTTCGGAAAAGGGAAAAAAAAAAAAAACCTAGCTGGCTACCAAGGTGAACCCTGAACGGTTCCCACCTTAAAATCGGCCCTGCTCGTGACGTCAGGTCGGAAATATACCAAAGCGAGCGCCGGCCAGGAGTCTGGGGAGCGCGGCGGCTCGGCGATTGGGCGGCAGGCCGCTGACGCGCGCTGACGCGCGGAGACTTTAGGTGAATGTTGGCAGCGGCAGCGCGAGCCACATAAACAAAGGCACATTGGCGGCCAGGGCCAGTCCGCCCGGTGGCTCGCGCTAGGCTCCGCGGTCCTGCTCGCCTGCCCAGCCGCCGCCTTCCCCTGCTCCCTCCCCGCTCTCGGCGCCTCCGTTCCCTTCGCCCCTCTCGCCCACCCCTCCCCGACCCTGCCACCCCGACTCCCGGAGGGAACTACTTTGGCCGAGTTGAATGAATGAAGAGAGGCACGGAGAACTCCTAAGTGAGTAGGTGCAGCCCGTACAGCTCGCGTTCTTTTATCCTTCTTTCTGTTTTTGCACGTCTCTTCTTCCCGCTTGTGTGGTGCAGGTTCTCTGGAAGTGGGCGCCGAAGGCGCGGAGCGCGAGTGGGGCCGGAGGATGGGGAGTAGGTGTGCGCAGCTACAGAGGGCATTTGTCGGAACTCCTGCTTTGCCACCCAACAGAGGCTTCCAGGCTCCTCATTGGTGGACGTGAAAGGGAGGCTTGCACAGTTTCGGGAGCTGCGGACTTAACACGCGGAAATGTGCGCAAAGTTTGCTCTTGGTGCGGAATTGATTGTGGTCTTTGGACACGTAGACTCCAAGTCCTGTGTATACGAGGGACCTGGACGCTGCCCACAAAGTGACAGGGAGAGTGAAAGTTCTTCAGTTTATGTGTTGCTTGGGAACTGTATCACCGCGGCTGGCCAGCGTGCCCGTGTCTCTTGGGTATTGTTGAGTGAGGAGGGCGGTTGGTAGAGTGACCTGTTACTAAGTTGCTTGAAATTTCTGGGTTTGACATGTGCCGCGCTTGTGTTAGTGAGTTTGTCAGAGAGGCAGAGACAGAGGGACAGACTATTTAGAGTAGTTATGAAGCTGCGAAGTTACCAGAGGGTTAATATCCAGCACAGGCATATCTGTCAAGGGCTGTGAGGGTCAAGAGTCTCCTTCCTTTCTACTTTTTCTGGTTACCCTCCCTCCTCCATGAAGCAAGATTATGAAGGGGGGTGGGGGAGGAGAACAGAATTGGATGTTTGGCTTTCTTTTTCATTAGTAATAAAGTCGTCTATGCTCTAGAATGCCTTCCAAGTGGGAACATCTGAAAAGTACTAGGACAGAAGAATGCCTTGTTCCAGCAAGAGGGCAGATTGTGGAAGGCTGGATAGGAAAGGTGCTCAGCTTGCTATGTTGAGAGGTGCTTCTAACACCGGTGCCACTATTGGATATGCAGCATTTCCCTCTCCCTGCAACTGACTGAGATGCTTCCGAAAAAATAGGGTCCCCTGTTTCCACCTCTTGGCCATTAAAGATGAAAGACAAATTTCTTGGAGAAGTGAATGCCCATTCACCTGGATCTCCAAACCCAGTGCTCCGTCAAAAGCTCTTAGGAAATCCAGATGCTTCCATTAAGATTGCCTTCAGGGTTACCTGGGCCTTGCTAACATTTTGTAACTCCTAGGGGGTGAAGGAAGAGATTGTTTTCACATTTTATATTCTTGACTTATACTTCCTTCCCTGCTTCCTAGATGAAAAGCCAGTTTCACCACAGGAAAAAAAAATTCAAGAGAAGGTTCCAATGCTGTATTTTATTAAACCCCAGTTTCTTCTTATTTAGTTTTGAATTAAACTAAAATGGAAATGACACTCCCCTTGCACTGCCCCTAAACACCCAGTAAAGGGGCCAATTTATTTCATCATAAATAAGTACATGGAATACCTTTCCTTCTTCAGAGGTATTCTCTGCAAGGATCAACACAGTCAATGGGTGAAATTTTCTGTTGTTTCCAGCCATCTCTTTTAGACATTCATTTTAAATGGTGTTTGATAAAGGCTACACACTAATTTCCAATTAAACAATCAAGAAGGGCCTGCCTGGTGATACAGATGCCCAGCCAAATCTGTCCGGAAAGTCACCCTAAGGCTTCCTGTGTCTTTATTTCAGGGAGGAGAACTGCCAGGCTGGGCTCTCCACTGCTTTTCTAAAAATCTTGGAAACTTTGTCCTTCATTGAATTACGACACTGTCCACCTTTAATTTTCTCGAAAACGCCTGTAACTCAGCTGAAGGTTAGTGCAACTTCATTTTTTTTCTTTCCCTCCCCCGAGTTCCGTAAACGTCAAGAAACAGGGCAATGCAATCTTTCCCAGCAAACCCTGTAACTTAAGTTTTTCCCCCGACCCATCGCCTTCGGGAACAAGTTTCTCATTGTGCAATTCAACTTGATTTCTGGATTGAGCTTGCTGAACCCGAGCTTCAGAGGAAAGGCTCATTGAAGAGGGATTACCCATGAAAGGGGGCGGAGGGGGAGGCGCTGGAAATATCCGGGAATGGAGACTGTAATAGCTTTCTAGTTCTGGGTCTTTATTGGATCAGTCTTTCCTTGTCCTGCACTGTTTTGCTCCTCAGTATTCGCACTCTCCGCCCTTCCTCTCGCGCCCCTACGTGCTCTCTGACCGCCGCGGGCTGCCGGTGTAGCTCCAGGTGTACCCGAGCCCGGGAGAAAGTGTTCAGTTGACCAGGCTGAGTGTATATTACCCTGTTTCATTTCCAGCCATGCCTTGTGTTCAGGCGCAGTATGGGTCCTCGCCTCAAGGAGCCAGCCCCGCTTCTCAGAGCTACAGTTACCACTCTTCGGGAGAATACAGCTCCGATTTCTTAACTCCAGAGTTTGTCAAGTTTAGCATGGACCTCACCAACACTGAAATCACTGCCACCACTTCTCTCCCCAGCTTCAGTACCTTTATGGACAACTACAGCACAGGCTACGACGTCAAGCCACCTTGCTTGTACCAAATGCCCCTGTCCGGACAGCAGTCCTCCATTAAGGTAGAAGACATTCAGATGCACAGCTACCAGCAACACAGCCACCTGCCCCCCCAGTCCGAGGAGATGATGCCGCACTCCGGGTCGGTTTACTACAAGCCCTCCTCTCCCCCGACGCCCACCACCCCGGGCTTCCAGGTGCAGCACAGCCCCATGTGGGACGACCCAGGCTCCCTCCACAACTTCCACCAGAACTACGTGGCCACCACGCACATGATTGAGCAGAGGAAAACGCCGGTCTCCCGCCTCTCCCTCTTCTCCTTTAAGCAGTCGCCCCCCGGCACCCCCGTGTCTAGCTGCCAGATGCGCTTCGACGGGCCCCTGCACGTCCCCATGAACCCGGAGCCGGCGAGCAGCCACCACGTGGTGGACGGGCAGACCTTCGCTGTGCCCAACCCCATCCGAAAGCCCGCGTCCATGGGTTTCCCCGGCCTGCAGATCGGTCACGCGTCGCAGCTGCTCGACACGCAGGTGCCCTCGCCGCCGTCGCGGGGCTCCCCTTCCAACGAGGGGCTGTGCGCCGTGTGCGGCGACAACGCGGCCTGCCAGCACTATGGCGTGCGCACCTGTGAGGGCTGCAAAGGGTTCTTTAAGGTGAGCCAGGACGGGGGCGGAGGAGGCAGGTAGGGGCCCCCTAGTGCCCGGAGCCTCAGAGTGCTGGTTCCACCGGGGTGCAGGCGCCCGGCGCCAACTGGCCCCTGACCGTCCGACTCCCGGGGTCCACGGGGGCTGCCCTGCAGCCGCCCCTGGGCTGCGGCGGAGGCTTCTGGGTGCCTTGGAAAGGGAAGTAGGAAGACCGGGAGACCCGGGGTCGCATCCCCCGCACGCAGCCGACCCGGCGAGTCCCCGCCCGAAGTTGCCGGGGCTGAGTTGGAAGAGGGTCATTTGCATGGGCTAGGAGCTGTCTTCTCTGTTCAGATTGAAATTGGTTAGGACAGAGAACCGTGTCTGAGCTAACCAAGTGGAACAGAATTCCCTATGGTCAAATTAAGTGATCTCTTTATTTCGCCATCCTGATTGAATAATCTTATCATTTTAAATAGAGAAGGTCTCTAAGGAATGTAAATAATATGAATGCCCACGGATTTGTATTTACTGAGCGTCTCCTTCTTCTCTTGGCATATAAAACACAGCAAGCAGCGGCAAGGTTAGCTCAAATGTTAACGCTATCAATTTTCTTCTGTTAAATGCCCTGGGGGAGGAAAAAGAGAAGAGAGAGAAAGAAAAGGAAAAAGAAAAAAATAAAAAGGAGTTGTGTATGTGTTTGTTTATGGGGAGGGTGTGTGGATCCCGGCCGTTCAGAAATTGTGTCTGGATTCCCTGAATTGTGTTGGATTTTCAAGAGAAAAAAAAATTTTTTTTCCGGCCTGTATTGTCTCCTTTTGCAGCGCACGGTGCAAAAAAACGCGAAATACGTGTGTTTAGCAAATAAAAACTGCCCGGTGGACAAGCGGCGCCGGAATCGCTGTCAGTACTGCAGATTTCAGAAGTGCCTGGCTGTTGGGATGGTGAAAGAAGGTAGGTTGGGGCCAGCAGCCCACTCCCCAGTCTACGCCTTTGGGAAGCTTCTGCTCCTGCCCCAAACCCACTTCCCAGAGCCGGGGCGGGGGCTGGGGGAGGTCTCCTGCTTCCCCCGCACCGGCCTCTGGCCTCTACGACTCGGCAGTTGCCTGCTAGCCCATCCTGCCCTAGAGAAAGCCGCCAGGCCCTTCCCGCCTTTAACTATACGACCTATTGGGAAGACGACATGAAACCCCCCCCTTTTTTACGCTTCTTGTCAGTATAAGGCTTTACAAGCGGTGGGGCGCTGCCCCGCCCCGCCGGGCGCCCCGCGGCTGCGGCCTTCCCCCGGGGAGGGGCCCAGGCAGCAGCTGGATCTTGCTTGCCCTCACCCGGCGATTCCTTTGCAGTGGTTCGCACAGACAGTTTAAAAGGCCGGAGAGGTCGTTTACCTTCGAAACCGAAGAGCCCACAGGAGCCCTCTCCCCCCTCGCCCCCGGTGAGTCTGATCAGTGCCCTCGTCAGGGCCCATGTCGACTCCAACCCGGCTATGACCAGCCTGGACTATTCCAGGGTAAGAAGCTGGCGCGGGGGGGGATCCTTCGGACAACTGACAGATGGGCAGGACCCCTTCCCCACACCCATCACTAACCCCCAGGCCCAAGGGATAAAGGAAGCATGCGAGGCTGTGGCTTCACAGCTCTGGGTAGGGCCACAGAAGACAGATGGCGTTGCTAGGGCTGCAGAAGTGAGGACAGGGCAGAGGAAGGAAGAGAGGGTAGGCCACAGTGGTCAAACCTCTGTGAGGCCCCTTCCCAGCACCACGGTGCACACACACACACACCAGTGCCTCTGATGCCTAAACCAGAGGCAGTGGAAAAGCCCCCGCTTGGGTTCTATCACCAGTCCTCCATGGAGATGATTTAATCCTCATTCTCTCTGGTGCCGTCAGGGTGAGGGATGCCTCCTCCCCGGTCAGGGAAGGGGAAGAGAAGGGGGTATAAGGAATGGCAGTGGGCGGGGAAATCAAGTGGTCAGATTCCTCTTTTACCCCAGCCATGAGAAATGTGTGCGCTTTAAATGGAGGAAGTGTGCCGGGCAAACCTAGAAGCAAACCTAGAAGCCACTGCAATTTTATTGAGACTTGCAAAGGGCATCTCTGCTCGAGACCCACTCTGGGACTGGCATGAATACTAACGTGTCAATTGTTTTGTGGAGATAAGAGTGAACGTTTCCCAGGGCTGGTTGGCACCGTATTTAGTCTGTATGGAAATGGTAATTTACATATTTAAAGCAGCGACCTCATAGCACCATCCCTAATTGAATTAATTGCCCCGGAACATCTAATTTCCTTACTGGTCAGAGAGAGGTTTAATTGTTATAAAAACCTGGCTCCCCTACTAGAAACGAGGTTAGCAATTTCACGGGTTATATATTTTAGAGAACCTCATTAAGTGCTTTTTAAAATGAAATTCCAGTTCCAGGCGAACCCTGACTATCAGATGAGTGGAGACGACACCCAGCATATCCAGCAATTCTATGATCTCCTGACTGGCTCCATGGAGATCATCAGGGGCTGGGCGGAGAAGATCCCGGGCTTCGCTGACCTGCCCAAAGCCGACCAGGACCTGCTTTTCGAGTCGGCTTTCCTAGAACTATTTGTGCTGAGATTAGCATACAGGTAAATGGAGAGGGCGATCCAGGAAGGCTGGGAATGGAGGAAGAGAGGAATCAAGAAAGGAAAAGAAAGAGGAAAAGGGAAAGAAAAGGGGGAAAGAGAGGAGAACAGAATGGGAAATAAATGAGGGGGAAAGGAAGGAAAGGAGAGTAGATAAAAGGAAGAGAAGGGAAGGAGTGAGGGCAGAAGCCTTAGATGAATGGAATGGAGGTGGGATAGGGGGCATTCTTGATTGTTATGAAATTAAACCCTTTCAAGGTCCACTGGCCTACGTTTTATTAACTCTTTGGTAATTAGGTGCCTCTTAAATCCCTCATTTATTGCTCTTCAAGTAATTAGTTGTTTAGCTTTTCTCTCTCTCTCTTTTTCTCCCCCTCCCCCTCTCTTTGGTATTAATTGCAGGTCCAACCCAGTGGAGGGTAAACTCATCTTTTGCAATGGGGTGGTCTTGCACAGGTTGCAATGCGTTCGTGGCTTTGGGGAATGGATTGATTCCATTGTTGAATTCTCCTCCAACTTGCAGAATATGAACATCGACATTTCTGCCTTCTCCTGCATTGCTGCCCTGGCTATGGTCACAGGTCAGTACCACAGGCACAGGGCACTTCTCCAGAACTGCCCAGTGGGATTCGTCCCGGTTTTCCCTTGCTGCCTGCCGACCCTCCCTGGTCCTGTCAGCTAGCTAACTGCTCGGTGCATTCCTCTTTTGTTTCTGGTTGTGTTTTCTGCAGAGAGACACGGTCTCAAGGAACCCAAGAGAGTGGAGGAGCTGCAAAACAAGATTGTAAATTGTCTCAAAGACCATGTGACTTTCAATAATGGGGGCTTGAACCGCCCCAACTATTTGTCCAAACTGTTGGGGAAGCTTCCAGAACTCCGTACGCTTTGCACGCAGGGGCTACAGCGCATTTTCTACCTGAAACTGGAAGATTTGGTACCACCACCAGCAATAATTGACAAACTTTTCCTGGACACTTTACCTTTCTAAGACCTCCTTCCATGCACTTCAAAGAAACTGGAAAGAAACCTAAAACTGTCCAGAGGGGGCAAGTCACAAGGGCAGAGAGATACCCCTGAGCTGCCTCAGCTCTAGCCGGCCCCCACCCCTTCCATACACCTTGGCCCTTGATCTCTAAAGAAAACAAACAAACAAACAACAACAAAAGCAAAAACTGTTACTATTTCCTAACCTGCAGGCAGAACCTGAAAGGGCATTTTGGCTCCGGGGCATCCTGGATTTAGAACACGGACTACACACAATACAGTGGTATAAACTTTTTATTATCAGTTTAAAAATCATTTTATTGTTCAGAAGGAAGCTTCTTAATGTATGACGGAAAACATTTGGCCATGCTTGGTTGTTGCAGTTAAGACAAATGTAATACACATAGACACATACACACACACCCACATTGTAAGGGGACCCACAAGTATTGCCCTTTAAAAGACTTCAAAGTTTTCTGCTGTAAAGAAAGCTGTAATATATAGTAAAACTAAATGTTGCGTGGGTGGCATGAGTTGAAGAAGGCAAAGGCTTGTAAATTTACCCAATGCAGTTTGGCTTTTTAAATTATTTTGTGCCTATTTATGAATAAACATTACAAATTCTAAAAGATAAGTGTGTTTGCAAAAAAAAAAAAGAAAAAGAAATAACCACAAAAAAGGGACAAGCATGTTGATTCTAGGTTGAAAATGTTATAGGCACTTGCTACTTCAGTAATGTCTATATTATATAAATAGTATTTCAGACACTATGTAGTCTGTTAGATTTTATAAAGATTGGTAGTTACCTGAGCTTAAACATTTTCTCAATTGTAAAATAGGTGGGCACAAGTATTACACATCAGAAAATCCTGACAAAAGGGACACATAGTGTTTGTAACACCGTCCAACATTCCTTGTTTGTAAGTGTTGTATGTACCGTTGATGTTGATAAAAGGAAGTTTATATCTTGATTATTTTGTTGTCTAAAGCTAAACAGAACTTGCATGCAGCAGCTTTTGACCGTTTCCAGAGTGCTTATAATATACATAACTCCCTGGAAATTACTGAGCACTTTGAATTTTTTTGTTTTTTGTTTTAATGTCTAAGATTGTCAGTTAATATATTATTTTATGTTTGAGTAAGAATTTTAATATTGCCATATTCTGTAGTATTTTTCTTTGTATATTTCCAGTATGGCACACGATATGAGTCACTGCCTTTTTTTCTATGGTGTATGACAGTTAGAGACGCTGATTTTTTTTTTTCCTGATAAATTCTTTCTTTGAGAAAGACAATTTTAATGTTTACAACAATAAACTATGTAAATGAACAGAATTTTGTCTTCTTTCTGGGTTAGGAAAAATGATGACTAAACAGCAATATACAATAGACAGAGTTGGAGATTGATCTGGGATAGGTCACTTATTCAGAATCTGAATTTCTGACAGTTTAGACCTATTCTGGCAAAAGGAACTGGGAAATTGAAGTAATTATCCAGAGAATTCTGTACAGTATTTTTCCTTAACCGGAATTTTCCAGTGTGGCAACCTACATTTATCAGAATCAGGTGAGAATATCTTAACTCTTCTGATAACTTTGCCAGTAAGTGCAGCTTTCAGAAGAGAAGTTCAGGAGACCTAACAGCTTTTGAAATTTTGCAAGGTTCGAAGTCCTATCAAGTTTTTGTCTTGCACAATGTTTAGAAAGTATCTTTTTAAGACTCAGAAAGTCAACATGGATTTGAAGTGTATTAAATATAATCTCTGATTTCTCCCACTCCTTGTAAAGGATCTTGGAGGAAGAGCCAAGCATTTTGGTCCCTTTGGGCCTTCGGGTCAGTGGTCTTTGGCATAGAGCAGAACAGTAGAGGCATTTCTTACAACTTTTTGTTTTCCTCCTTCAGTGAATAGTGATGAGGTTCAATTTGCAGTTTTAGAATAATATTTCCGTCTTAAAAGTTTCTCAGGTAAAGAACAAAATATCCATTTGTCAGGTCCTGGGTCTTGTCAGATACAAACAAGTTATACCAAAGTCTCTAGGATTCCACCCAGCACCAACTTTTAGCAAAGAAAGTAACTAACACTGTAGAAGCCACTTCTGGTACCAGCTTCCTCTCAGCGACCTGGTCCTTGCGGGGTGGAGGTCCAGCCAGTTTCGCCTCTGGACAGCTGTGAATTCACAGAAAGTGCAGGATGGAGGTGGTTTTCTTCGTTGGCCCTGGTGGATTTCAACTGGCCTCCGGGTCACTGAAATTTACAGAACGTGTTATTATTTTTAAAATGCAGAGTTAGAACAGTAAATTTCCAGGAGAGTTCTCAGGTTATTTTTACTTTGCCTTTTCTTCCTTAAAAAAAAAAAAAAAAAAAAAAGGACATGTTTTGCGGGTCGGGCAATAGAGATAAGGCAGGTCTCCGTGGTAATTTAAGGTTATTTTCAGGAGATGCGTTTCTCTACAGGTAACTCAGGGGCAAAAGTGTGTGGCCACATAGGAGATTAAATAATAAGCAAAATGTCCGATGTCCTAGCTTCCTTGAAAAGATGGGGCCTGCCATTTCCTTTTATTTTCACAACTTCTGCTCAACTAAAGCCGAACACTAATAAGCAGAGAGAAAGAGAAAGCTCTTTAGAAATGCTGGGAGTCTGCAGAGCCGTCAGCAGTCGTCTCCCAGGTGTCTGCAGCCCCGAGACAATTACATTCCGACTCAGAATCCTCGAGAGTTGAACCCAGAAACGAACTCTGTTGCAGGTTCTCCCTTAAGGAAGCCGCTGTGCATCACCCGAGGCCAATGGGGTGTCAGGTAGTGCGCCTCCCGAGAATTTGGGGTGAAAGGAGGGAGGGATGACTCTCTCCCATGCCCGCATGCAGACTGCACCGGCTCCGCGTATATTTAGTTGTAATTCCTAAATTGAAAACTGGCTAGTCCTTTTTCTGCTTCACAGTTGCCGAGTCAATTTCCAACTCCCGGCTGCGCACCGGGTTGCGCGGGGAAAGAGCCTCGCACGCATCTATCCTGCAGCTTCCGGTATCCGTAAGGCTGAGGACTTTTCCGGTCCCGGTCTTTCTGGGAGTAAAGCCCAAGAAAAGCAAGAGACACGATGCGTTGCAAAAGACAGAAGTTTCATGGAACTCCTATAGAAATAGATTAAAACTTTATAATGGGGACTTCATATAGCCCTCCTCTCCCCAAGTCCTCTTAAGAATTTCAGTTATTGTGTGCTGTTTCAGCAATGGAAATATTTTATCATTGTTCAGAAGACATGACCATACACTTCTCAGCTCTGAAAGAGGGCCTAATTTTAAGTCTTCACGGTGTCTAGACCCACGTCGAGTGGTTACTTAGAACGCCCTGAATTTATGGAGTTACCCTTTAATACAAAGCACGGGTGAGCAGCGCTCCCGCCTGTTACTTGGTGGGCTCCGCTTCTTTACCGTCCAGGCGACTGCCACAGTGTCTCCAAGAACCCAGGCGGCCCTCGCTCTGACCTTCCGCTTTTGAGGAGAGAGAGAGACAGAGAGAGAGAGAGAGACAGAGAGAGAGAGAGATTGAATTTCTGGTCCTGATTCTAACGAGAGAGATAGCCTGGTCCAGAGAGCTGATAGCACCCTGCGGTGACAGCCGCACCCAACGACCTTACCTTGTGTATTTCATTTTGGTGCTCAACTCCATCCCTAGAGAGTTGGTGTGCCCCCTCCAATAAAAATACCGGTCATAAGTCTTATGGGACACTGGTTCTCAGAGTGCAAGGAGCCGGACAAGGAGAAGCAGATATTCCTGCCAACTTAAGAATGTCGCTTGAAGGTTCCATTTCACTTTGCCATGAGAATCTCTCGGCATTATCTGCGCTTCAAAGCTAATAGTCAATTACCTAATTGTATGTTAAACCTAGGCGTGGGCAGTGAATACTTCCAAGATACAAACACGTCTGTGAGGGAAAAGTTTTATTTCATTGCAATATTTTGATCACAGAGTTTTCCGGTACAGGATACATTACCATCGCGCCAGGCCCTATCCAGGGTAGCGATACCAGGGCCCTTCCAGGCATGTCGCGGGATGCGCATCTTTGCGCCACCATCTCCCTGCCTAACTCCGCACTTGCGCCCGTTTCCTTTTTTATCCGCCGCGCGGCAGCGCGGAGGTGGCTGCGGGGAGTGAGGGCTGGGGTCTCCCGGGCCGGCATCGCTTCTCTCGGTGAGGGAGGCTCCTGGTTCTGTCTCGAAGCCGTGTTGCTCGCCGCCACCTCAAAAATGGAGACAGGTTCTATCGAGGTGGGAGGGGAAAAGAGGGTATCTTGTCCCGCGGATTTAAAAACTTTTTTTTTTCAGTATTATTTCGACGGTTGAACAAGAGGTCTGGGAGTGAGTATCTCTAAAACATCCTCCTCCAAAAGGGGTTTTAAGGCTTCCCCCCACCCCCGCCTGTGCCTGCTATTCGGGAACAGTAACTGTCGCTACGTGGGCGCGCCCGGAAATTCCTCAGTAGTCCAAGCCTCCTGTGCGCCCCGCGAGTTTTAGAGTCCCACCGGGGAGGGATGGAGTTTGGGGTCCCAGCCTAAGCCCAGTCAACGGATCCTCCCCACGGTTCTCATCCAGGACTAAAAAGAGCGCACCCGGTAGCAACAGTCTTCGGGAAAGGTTCGGCCAAGATCTGTATATCTGGCAGAACTCAGCCAGGGGATCGCGTTTAGTAAAGCTGCATGTTTTGGGGTTCAGTTGATACTGGCTGACTTTACTAGTAAAGCAAGATAAGAACTCCAAACAGGGCCGTCATTGTTTTGTAATTCGTTTTTAATAATAAAACAAACACGCACAAATCCACGTTTCATTTTTACTTTTGAATTTTACTAGAAACTCCAAATTGGGTATTACGCATAGCCATTTAGGATGGTGAGGCTGTCGTTTAAATCCATCTTCCCTCAGTCTTTCTGTTTCCTGAGCACGACTGGAGACGACCGCTGGGGCCGCAGGGTCTTTGCTCCGACTTTAATTTTGCGCTTCTTTAGGGAAAGTCCCACTTCCGTCGGAGCGCGCTTCCTGGAGCGGGACAGCGGGGCCCCACCCAACGCTAGGGACGTAAGGAGGTGGCCGCACCCCTGGTTCTTAGCCGCGACGTGCGCTCCCTGCCCAACAGACAGTGGCGGGAGAACTCCGGAGAGCGAGGCTCCGGCAGCTCACTCCCTACCCCACGCCCTCCCACTAGGCACCCCCCACCACTCTCCCAGCGTGGTCTGGTTTTGAGGCCCCAGAATTACTGGAGAGGACGTGGCTCCGTTTGTGGTTCGGGGGTGCGAATGCGGGGATGCACGCGCTCCAGCTCTGCCCGAGGCGTTTTGGAGACTTAGAATTTGACTCTGCAGGTTGCAGCAGGAGACTTTGCCCAGGGAGCCCTGGACCAATTAGGACGAACTCGCCCGGGTTAACTCTGTTTCCTCCGTTTCCTGCCCTGCCCTCCCCAGCTGCTCCTTGCTTCTTTCCCAGCTGTTCCACGTCCCCCAGGGCCGGAGGCCGCAACAGGTTCCAGTCGCCGCGTGGCCAGGTCCGGTGCGACAGGGCGCGAGCACGTGCGGCCGAGCGCGCCCCTGGCTTCCCCTGCACCCACAGATCAGTGGTCAGTCTTGTGTCTCCCCTAGTTGTGAGCCGAGCTGGAGCGTCCATCCACTTCAAACTGGGGAAAATCTTTTTCCCCTGGTTGTGGGCTCACAAATAGGAGGGGCAGAGGCGCCGGGGCGCGAGTCGGAGGTGCATCCGCCCTGCGGAAAGGGGCCCCAAGCACCCCCCGCACACGTGTGCCCCGCAAGTGTGCTCCCAACCCCGAAGCTCCGAGGAGGCATCGTGCGCGTCCGGCTCTGCTTTCAGGTCTCGCACCACGGGTTGTGAGCCCTAGGCCCGCGCGCCGGGGGATGCGACTCGTCAGGTGGCCAGACGAGTGCAGCGCCTGGAGGGGCCTCAGGACATCCAGTCCGCCTATCCGCCTGCCGCGGGCGCGCTCCTTCCTCCCCTAAAGACGCCGCCGACTGCGGGCTGCTGGCTGTCCTCTTCTCTGCTTAGCCGAGCTCTGTAGTCCTCAGCTGGACCTGACAGAGCACCGAGCAGGGACCCGGATCCTTGGAGGGATCGGCTTCCACGCTTTCCTCCGCGTTTCTTCTTCCTCCAGTTGATCTCTCTTACTCCTATTTCTCTATATTTCTAGCTAAAGTTGTGCTTAGAGAAACTAGGGTTTCCAGGACACGTGCCGCCAGTCCTAACAAATAGTCTCCGAGTTTCTGTTAGAGACTTCCCTGGGGCAGTAGAGGGTGGTCGAGGGGCAGCTGCGCACGTGAGAACTCCGTTGGATACT